TTGAAATATTTTGATCATTCTAGCTTTTTGGCAACCAAATTTGAAGACCACCTATGTTTTCAGAATTCTGACAATGGATTGAGTATAACAATAATAAGAAATAAATCACAAGATAGGATTCTCACTATGAGAGCTTTAAGTGCATCTTAGTGAAAAATCTTTAAAGCAACGTAACTTAACCAATCACAAACCACAAATCTTTACAAATCACAACATATAGAGCGGAAATACAATGCATAATACAGAGAGATTACGACCCCAACCATAGTCATTTATATTAGAAAAAGAACAACGTTATCATCAACAGAACGATACCTAGAACGTAGGAGAACATCGGCGAAACTTTGCTGCATTCCTCGAGTGGGGTTCCACAGCGCTGAATATGTATGTATTATATTAATTTTAATGAAAATTAGACACTTACCACAAATTCGTCCATTTTAATTAGGATTCATGAACTCTCATATGGAAAACTGGAACTCCAACTATGAAGAAATAAAGAAATCTTTTCGAAGCGGCAGGAAAAGTTTATGTACAAGATGCAGTTTTTATAGCTTCACGAGCGTGTCAGCTGTATTGCTTATTTATAGTTACAAAGCAATAAAAAAGGCTAGATTTGTGAAACGGTTCGCTAATGGACTCCCACCTCCCAGGTTTCAATTTATATGAGCCCACTTAATTTACAAAAGCGACGCCACTTGCATAGGCACAGATTCATTGATCAGAATTCAGGCCCTGAGGCGCTCAAAACAAATTCAATATGTTATGTTTACAGAACTTATGTGTTTCGGTGCAGCTCAAACAATGAGACCTTACGATCGCTATCTGTTGTACATTCACACCAACCTACTCTCATCCGAAAATATTATATACTTAGAAAGATGACTTTGAATGCGTCTTTAAAATGCATTCCGAATGAGAAACCAATATGCAGCCCACCCTAGTCGACCCACGGCAATTTCTGTCATTCAGTCAACAAATGAAAGTACTCAATAAACTAAACATACCTTCAAAATAGAAAATAAAAAAAATAAAAAGCAGATAAACAGAGAGCAAAGGCCTTCAAGCAAAAAAAGTGTGAGAACAGTCGGTATTCTTGTTATCTTACTGTTACCTTTAAAATATAATATGTACAATGAGGGCAAGGAACTTGTGATGTGGTTGCAAGTCCAGAACTACCAGTGACGAGTAGGGTGTGGACTAATTATTTAATGTGGTATGAAAGTGAGTGGAACCCAATACGCAAAGCAAGTCCGCAAACGGGAGGCGAATGATAGAAGGATTCAATTTCAGTTTCGCAACAGCCTGGAAAATATAAAACTAATGTAATTATAGCAACGAGAGCGATAGAACAGAGCCCCGATGCTAATGGTACACAAAGCTGAGCGGTACTAAGATCAAAAATTCGCAACTTGGCCACACGACAGTATGGAAAATGAGTAAATGCGAACAATATTTCGGGGAAGGAGATCAAAAAACCTACTCGAGGTGCGTGAATTTTTTTCTGGGCGGTGTTCATACTAATAACTGTTAACTCGATCCTGCGTCCGCCAGGTGATTTGGAAAACATTTCGAGAATTACTGCAAGTACCAGACCCTGCGGCTCTCACTCTGCAGTGCGACTCGCGTCGCAACGGAGGTTTAGGATCAACAATCGAAGGATACCCGGCCTCGTTTTGCTAAGCCCAGCAGCGTTCAATCTGTTCTGACACATTTCTAGTCTGATCTAGAGTCTAATCTCCATACTTCTTCTCAGAATATGCTTGTACTTGCGTGCAAAAGTGCAGTTGTACCTGTTCAGGTTTGCTACTCTTGCTCGCTTATACTTCTAGTGATTACTTAACTAGTGTGACTTTCAATGCGGCACTTTCGCTTTGCGCTTGGGAATCACAGACGAATTACGCGACTCACGATGTTTGAGAGCTGTCTAACGATGAACAATATTCGGGTCCGCTAAGCCTTGAAATAAGTAAATTTCAATCCACGCAGGGGGAGTCGACTCATTTCGGACATGCTTACCAGAGAACCAGAGAAGGAGGGGAGCTCGAAGTGGCGGTCTGCAATGTGCATACCCACTGATGCACCTCCAAACGCTGATTCCAAATATGCCTTCCAGACCTGCTAAACGATGCTGTGAACAAAATTACGAAGGTTTTTTCTCCCCAAATGGTGTGATGGTCTAACGGTTGAAGACGTCGATTCGCAGGAGATCTGATCCATTCGCTCAGTTTCCTTTACTTCTTTCCATAGCACGTTAACAGAGGCGACATTGTTGTCTTTCGATGGTTTTTTTAAACACTCTATCTTGGGCATTGCGGCATTCTGGCGTACGTTTTCACACCGAGGAAGCGTGAACATAGCCTTCAGGAAGTCAAACTACCCCTTGACTCAAATTTCAAGCCAAATCGAAAATTTGAGTCCTACATCGAGAAAGTAGGCTATCCATGGGTAACACAGAAAATCTAGTAGCTGGTGCCTTCGACAGCACCACGAGTACAACTTTTGTGGGCAAGAAGATTTTGATCGTTGAAAGTACATAACTAGAGACAGTAGAAGCTTCCCATTCGGAAATAAGCTTCATTATCAGCGCCGCGATGCCGGGACCTGACATTGACCGCTGCCCAAGACTACCGCCGTTACAGCACTTTTTCGAAGTAGGTTTTTCAATTGCCTAGCAGTATGTCCCCATATGTAGTTAGAGCTCCTAAACACTAGTTCGACGTGAAAACGTCTACTGCGTGCGTTCAAAGCGCAAGTTCTTGAGTTCTCTTTGCGGCCACTCATGCAATGGTTGCACTAGAGAGGGAGTATATGGACTTCTTATGTCAAATGATTATGGAACTCTTTCTCAACATACCACCCTATCAGGTCCCCTAGATTTGCTAAATTAGTTCAAAAGCATAGTTCCGAAAAGGTGCAAAAGACCAACGCCATCAACGACCCAAACCCTTGATCTGCAGTCACGAGGCCGGCATAGTGAGTACTAGCTCACTGCTCCACACACAAACTATGCATGCGTATTGACATCGTGCTGAGGTGAGCTTGAGTCTGCTCCGTATCACAAAAAGTTCCGCAACTTTGTTCCGAAAATCGTTCAGCAGATATGGAGTACAGTTTTGGAGTCAATTTTCGAGAACCTTTCGGGTGATACGCATCATATTTCAAATGGCCACCTCGACCTACCATCCTTCCCTGATTAGCAAACGATAGACGTTGCTATTGCGCCATTTAAAAAATCCCCCCCCCCCAATTCCATGACATCTAGAGATCGGAAAAATGGATGTAGGTTAGTGAAATGGTCACCATAGACAGAACACATTATCAGTAAGAGAAGCTGAGGTCGAAAAAGCATAATAAGCTTCAAGAGAGTTTGGAGGTTAGGAAAAAGTAAGACTAGCTAAAGACTAAAGGTCAATTATCAGTCTGGGCGCCCAATTGGTGCCGTGGTGGGTGGTGGTAGAGATAAAATAATAGATTTCAAGTTGATAAACAATATGTTCTTTACTAGTGACGATATTTTCGAAAGGTCTACCAGTGAGGTAAAAGTATGAAAAAGTTGCAATAGTGCACGCACAAACGAAAGCACTTGCTAACTATGTGACCTAGTAGAGAACAAGGAGTGATGAGATCGCCACTCCCCGAACTCCAGTTCTAGAGATGATCAATCGTGGACTATGGGAAAGGGCCTTGTATGAAAAGATTGCAGATTGAGCTAGGCACCATTTTTGTCTTTCCTGAAAAACGTGCTCAAAGTTTTACTCCATCCCAGTACCAGCATTTTGTAATGGATTCATCTATTAGTGAGTAAGTGACTGCCCAAATTTTCGTAGGTCGAAATTAGGTTCGGCCAGAAGTTTGCCCAAAGGGGGAGTCGACCTTTTTGATTACGAATATCACACTTGGTGCAAAAATGCTTGGCGCTTGCGCTACATGGATATAGTATTCAGTAGCACACGCCTCCCAAATTCGTTATTACATGCACTTCAGTTCTTTGTGCTGGAAGCATACGTGAGCACGCCGGATTAATGAGGAATGTTCCTAACTATTTTGCTGCCAATGGCGAAATGGTAAGCACTCCAAGCAGTCGGTCCCATGACTTCTCATGTGGGAGTCAGGACCGATGCTGCTGCGCTCTTCCGTTTCACAATTCTTTTCAGAGAAGTGGTTAGCAGGTAAGAAAGGTAAATCTGAGCTCAGCGTTCCAAGACGCGTAGAGTGATTTCATCTACAGAAGGAGCTCATTCTCCAATTTAATTCTGCATTGTGGGCAATAATTATTCACTCTGATCTCATTTAAATTGGCAGGGTTGGCCAAATGATCTTTCCCGATCTGTTAATTTTTCCGACCTTTGACATTCCGGATTGGAGTAGAGAAGACGGAGGGGTCAGCCGATAATGACACAGTTTGCCCACTAGTGACGCGTTCTCCTCATTGTCGTGCACCTAGTCTAGTATAGAACTCGCTCTTCTCAACAAAATTTTTTGTTTCTATATTGTTGTAGAATCTCGTTATGAGTTGCTGTTGTAAGGGGAGCTCATTTAGCCCATAATTTGCTTTAATTTTTTTAATTAATTTAATAATTAATTTGCTGTGGAATTGCTTCGAACAATCCATTAATCCACTGTTGAGCTTTAAGCGATTTCCTTCAGAGCCGAACGAGGAACTTCTGCTATTCGTACTCCCAATTTGGCGGTTCATAACCAACCAGAAGGGGATTTTTCTGTCGCTTACTTTGTGCATGCCTTGTACGTCATGTCTATGTTCTACTCATGCCGAACATGATCCTGATTCTTGAGGCACTATCGAAAGTCGTATCAGACAGACAAATAGACAAGCAAACAACATAGGATTTATGGATTGCAATAGGACATTTTTTAATCTTCTTCACATCTATAGATGACACAAACCTTCTGTTGATCAGCATAACTGCTGAGAAGCATGCTGTGGTACTGCTTGGCCATATTGTCCACAGTACAAGGGAAACCACAATTGGGAATCGTCAACGGATACGGCGCTCTTGTGGTATCGTTCCGGAAGAGAGAAACTAAAGCGAACACATTGGCCAATTTTGACATCCTCCTCCCATGAGTTATGTTGCAGAACGAAGGCAGTCACGTCTTACGTTCACTGTTCAACGGCAGTCCACGTTTCGAAAGCTTACCTCAACTTGGTATTCGTTGCCTTCCTTGAATATCTCCATGATGACTGCTGAAGCGTATGGTATCATAAGATTGTTTCCCACCCCCATTGCGTACATAAGACCGAGTAACGTGCCGTCGTGCTAGAAATACACTTAAGTAATGGAATGTGGGAATTTTAAAGAACGATTAATGATGATGCCGCAAAGTTCCTTCTAACCTAATCTTCCTTTCCTTCTTTTTCTTTTAGCCGTTTATCGTCCTGATGAGAGCGGATATGTGATGTTGAAAACACGATTCTGATTGCCGCATTTGCATTAGCGATGTCGCGTTTAATAGAGATGTACATAACCAAACATAAAGTCCGAGATAAAGTCCTATGACTTTTCAAGCCAGGCTGAAGCCTATGTTCTTTCGGTGTTTTTGGGTACATTAAAGGAATCTTCCGCGGAAAAAGCTCCGCCTCCATTACCACAGAAAAACGATACCCCTTAGGCCCCTAGCCTCATGAGCATAGCAAAAAACGGAACATAAGCGTTAGTTTCGATAATACTAATCCTACACACAAGACAAAATGATCACTCTTTCCGTGGAAGATTCCTTTAAGGTATCGTTTTCTGTGGTAATGAGGGCGGAGCTTTTTCCGTGGAAGATTCCTTTAAGTCAGATCTGATGTCACGGCATTCCTACCATTCGTGAGCCACCATTGAAGAAGAGATTCATGCACTTTGCAACCTCTACACAAATGCGCTTCGATCCCATTGCAGCGAGGTGGGCTCCAACATCCTCAGTTTTTTCTTAACCGCTGCCACTTATTTAGCAGAAATATGTATCGGAACCTGTCGTAACACTAATTCTTTTCAGTTATTCGTTATTCAAAAACTTTTTTAACAGATTTCAGGCCATGAAGTCACTTTTTCGACTTTGGCTAGATCGAAATTTCCATTGGCAAGTGAAAGTGTTTTCCGCCAAAGAGGGAGTCCACAAGACCATGACATGACACGAAAGCACAGCAAGCACTCACCGAAGAGTATAGTAGCATTTTCTTTGGATTTTCCATAGAACCATTCGCCACCTTCATAGCATTACTCACAAAATTGTTCAACAAATAGCCACCAATTAGCTGAAACAGCGAGAATATTGAAAGGGTCTCGGCTGGGATTGTGGGGGACAGTCGTAAACGTATGTAGCGGTTCGCTTTTTCAACAAAACGACGGATTCTCTCCACAGAGCTTCGACATTCGCTGCCATAAACTTGTACAATGCAAAGTCAAAACTACAGGCAAAAAGATTGTTCTCGTTGTTTTGAGAAGCTCTCTTCATCATTTTATCGGAACTATATCACTGTTCTCCCATAGCCCTTCCGTGAATACCCACATGAACAAGTGTTTTCTGTGCCATTGGCTTATATATTGGATAATGTTTTACCGAAGTTGGCACTTATCATTAGGTTCCCATTATTGAAAGGTCAAGCTGCTTTCTCAAAGCAAAAAAAGGAAATATCACGATCCAATAAAAAAAGCAGTGGCAACGGTCAGTACATTGGCTTTTTCAGTGGAGTTGAATTTAGTGATCATGCGTATCCGTACGCAGTTTCAGTGATGATGTCCATGGTACTCCTGTTGTTGTACTGTGGCCAATATTTGAACACCCACGACGGTTGTTTCGCAGTCATATTGTGAATTAACTGAAAGAAAACCATATCAGACATGTACCGATCAGAAAACTGAAGAACAAGGAACCGTGAGCTCACCTCACGAGTTACATCATAGATCTTGTTAATATTCTTGTAAGAGAAATTGGCTATTCCGGTTCCTTCGCCAAGGATTTTGAACATTTCGGAATACTGGACGTCAAACCGTTTGGCCTGTTCATCGTCTTCCGCGTCGACCAGGTCATCGTACTTTTTGCACGCAATCGATGTTGGCTTCGTAAGCTGAAAGCAAGGTGGTGATTTCAGTTTGCGCCTCAAAGATGTTTATTTATTAGCCCAACTAGTGAGGGAGGAGCATTTCAGGGCAGAGTAATAAAAACTTCCGAAACCACTAAAACATTCTTCTGTTACTTATGGTTTCCTTATTTACTTATTTACATATAAACTGCACAATATAAATATCAAATCAAGTCATATCCACCATTCCCTTTTTGGACGCTGGGTTGACCTGTTCCGGTTTCGCACACCCTGGAGCTTCATTACCCTACGAAAATTGAAATTGCTGAAGGTTTTGCGATCTACTTGACCAAAACACCCTTTCGCATACAAAAGTAGACCCCTGGTACTCTTTGTCTCTCGTATTCAGGTGAGTCGTAAATATGGAGCCTTTGTTAGCAACACGGATACCTCATCGGATAATCACCACCATCTGAATGAAATTGAATTTCTCAGGATCATCGCCAAACGAGCTACTGCTATTTTGCTGTGTATTCTGCATAGTACATATAGCGAATAACGTAAAAATGTCTGTATTTTAGAGCCTGTGTCGATAACTTACTCGATAAGGGTGAAAAAGAAAAAGCGGCTCCTGTGACAAGCTGATAAATACCACTCGTGAAGCTATGGAATTTATCTCACACTGGTCCCATTTAGGCCACTCCTACAGACCAAAACTTGCAGCCGGTTTCCTATGGAAAATATGCATCGCTCATGACTTCATGGATGGAGCGTCAGTGACGACGCTTCCGTCACTTGAAAAAGCTTGTCTCCCTACGAGATTGCAATTATCCTTAGGCAATATGCGCTTTTTTGGAACAACTCTTTTCTAGAAGGCCATTATCACCACAAATTCATTGTGTAGATGCTATATTTGCAACATAAAGAAACTGCTTACGCAATTCAGT